GTGGTTTATGAAAGACCCACAGTGCTCCCTGCTGGTGAAGCACAGAACAGAAGGTCTGCGGGCAGCTCAAAGCTTGAGCCTGGCAAGTATATGTTTGTGCATGTATGCTCTAATCTCAAGTGGGCTGCATGACTTCAACCCTTCAACAACAAGGGAGTCTCCTTCATCAACCTCTCGGCCAGGGTATAACAGCTTCCTTTAAGATTTTCTCTGAATCATGGACAAATGCTAGAGAGAATGAGACAGAGGGAGAGCAAGAGAGAGAGAGATGGAGCAAAACCTGCATGGCCAGTGGGCAACTTCAATAAAAGACAATCTGACTTTTCAGAAGCTATAATAATCAAGATCCTCCCACAGAGGTTGTTTGTCTGAGGGGGACACAGACTGCTACGGGTAAGGAGGAGAAAATTCAGAGCAGTAATTAATAGTCCTAAGTGACTGTTGCTGGATGGGAAGCAGGGACAAGGTTTGTTGTTACTGTGATCTGGTACTGTGTCCCCCAGCATGTCCCACAGCCTTGTGGACTGGCATGTAAGCAGAAGAGGAGGAAATTGAGAAACTGCCTTTACAACTCATTTGTCTCCAGGGCCTCTCCCCATCAGCCAGAGAGGCAGCCACCCTCCATCTTCAAACACACCCTTATGAGCCTGCTTTCAATTCTAATCTCATGTCACAAATGTTAAGGGAAAGACACGAAATACCACAAAAATGTCATCAGTCGAACCTGTCACTAACTCATGAAATTCTTTAAAACCCCTTGTAAACAGATTCAAACATACACTCATTTGCACGTGGGTGTGTGTTTGTGTGTAATGAGTTGGGGGGGGGGACTTGTTGTTTTTAGCCTTCGGGTGCCTGTGTCTGCATGGAGCAGCAAAGTGGTTCCTATAAACCTATCACTGTTGTCATCATGATGGCCCAAAGGTACAGAGAGAAAATAGACTCAATAATTGTGACAAATATGTGTTACATGATTTGCTAATAAAAATGCGGCTTACAAATGTGTGTGAAGAATTGTGGGTAAATTATGGTGCTCACCACTCCACTGTTAATCCACCAACAAATGCCCAGACACCAGATGCTGACAAATGCTGGTCCTCACCATGTAAATCAAAAATTTTACACTGGAATTTTGGTTTAAGGTTAGGGTACAGTTAAGGGTAGGGTAAGGGTTAGGCAAGTAATGGTTACTGATAAGCTTAGGGTAAAGGGCAACACAATCTGGGGTCCCGTAAGACACACCAGGAGCCATGGAAATTCTCTGTGTGTGTATAGACAGATTTGTGTGTGTATAGACACATACACAAGTTGTAATGTATGTATTTGTAAAGCTACCTTATATTTGTTGAAATTGTTTGGTATTTTTGGTGGTTATTCATTTATTTTATTTATTTTTTGTGCTTTTGAACACCATAAATTAAACACAAATTGTCATACACGTTTGTAAATCATGCTTGTATTTGTAGAGCATGTATAATTTCATTTGTGACCACTACAGAGGCTATTTTTTCTCTATGCAAAGGCCCCGCCTGGAGGTATGACATTTCTGGCACCCTCTGACTCTCTTCCATCACGAGAGCCAGAAGAAATGTTGTCGTATACTACGCTGGCTGAAAGGCACTTACTGTCTTGTAGGTCTAGCTAAGAAATGAATGCAAACATAATGTGTAGATGACACTGAAATTCAAATTAGGTTTAATGAGAAAGAGCATAAAATCTGCAATAATAATAGTTGGCTGACAGAAAATTAACCTGCACTATTTTGATTAATCATTTGTCTTTTTTTGTTTTTAGAAAAATGCCAAATCAAAGAAGAATTCTTTGATGAGAACATACCCCTCAAGATTTTATTCTTACAGTATCATTTATAACTTAAAGGCCACTCACTGCACTGTATAAGCTGTTATCCACTTACCAAAATCTATTTTTGTGTCTGCTTCTTCAAAAAGTCAACCATGCACCATGTAGGGATGAGATACAATCAAAAATAAACCCTGACAGAAGGTTAAGGTACAGACAGAACCCCCCCAACCCATACATCTGTCCGTCTTCATTTCACAACTGCGAGCATTTTCCCAGACTGTCACCCACCCGCCTGGCGCCCATTCCCATCTTCACTCCATGCTAGCGATCCAACCTAGCACCAATATGTAATTTCACCAATCCATACTGACAGAATTCATGCCAGCTATTCACAACCAATCTCTCCCTTCTTCTTCCACGAGAATCTGTGTAGTTAAAATACAGTACTCATTTGCAGAGCTTTCACAGGTCATGAAAGGTAACAGAGGAGACAGGCAGGGCTGTGGCTGTGCATCCCAGCCAGACAAATCAGAGTAACAGCATATTGTAAACTACAGACTAGGCAACAGGGAATATATGCACCAGGACTGAGGCTGTGTTAATGGCCTCAGCAGCCCTGCAGCACTATTGGTGACCTCCACTGTAGATTTTCTTACTTAATGTGACCCCAGATTGTGTATCACAATCGGCACGAGGAAACTCCCACAGGCTACAGTTAGTCCTGGGCACTGAGGATCGTTGTCATCTGCCCGCCTGAGTACAGACAGGATGTGGCAGCTTCAAGGCATTTAGTTACAGGAAAGGGACTTTTATACTGTATGAATGCATTTATGGAAGCCCTAGTAGGATAAAAGTGTATGACATGCTGGAGCCTATAAACAAATAGCAAAAATGGAAGGTTAGATGAAAAATAGAGAATTAGCCTTACCTTGTTTCATGGCATCTAATCATTTGTGATCATCTGTGTATTCATTCTTATAATTAAATTGTTTTCTGGGACAGATTTTTCTCAACAAATTGAGTTTAAAAAGATCATCTGTTCTTTTATATTAAATGCACAAGTGAAAGGGTGAGGTGAGAGTACAGTGGATGTGCAAAGCAATAAACAACAATGAAAGCAATTCACATGAAACAAAATTGTTGCCTATATGAGAAACAAGAGCCCCTAGAAAATCAACATGAAATTTCTGTCCAAGACATTTAACTTATTATAATATATACCGTGAGCTAGATATTCAGCACTATTGGAAGATCTACTATGTTAAAGTACGTTGCAGTGTGACTGGAAGGATGATCGTACTGGACATACTCAGATTAATCTGGAACATCATAGGACCATGGAGTATTTATTTTGGTGGTCTTATGATGAAAGTGTGGTTTAAAAAATAGAGACTTATGTATTCCCTGTTGGTTTCTTGTATTTGCAAACTGAAAAGAAAAGTGTAGGCCTGTACACTCTGGCCCAAAAATGTTCAGTTGAATTCCATAATGTGGAATATAGACTTTATGTTCACCATTTTTCTCTTTGCAGTGATGACCCAGAACAAGACAAATGTCGGGCAAATGTCATAAATACAATGAATATGTAATAGAAAATACTGCATTTGGCCCTCATTCTATTATACTGCTAGATGGAAAATGATTTCCTTCACTTAAATGCTTGATGACTTCACCCCAAAGCAGATTTTCCATTTATTTTCACTTTGTCACATGTACAACCTATAGCTCCCTTGTTTTTTGTTCCAGTATGAAGTACATATTTTAAACTTACTGTAATTAGAGTGCTGTTCTTAGGTACAAATGCGATATATATTTATTATACTTGAGAATGTCCATTTTACTCTAATACAGTAACAGTAACTTTGCAGATTAAGATTTTTGAAAACCTAAACAAACACTTCATAAAATAGTAAAACCCAGTCCCACCATAAATGGCCAAATGCTACTAACAACTGGAGTATTATCAGTAATGGGGTTGTTATCAAACATTATCATGGCTGGAATAAGGTTGTAAGAATTGAGACATGCTGTCCGGCATGGGAACAAGATATCTTGATTTATGGCTATAAGATATTATGTTACTGCTGCAGCAGCAAAAAGTCTTCAAAAAGACTTTATTTATAATAATTCATTTTTATATAATAATATACCACTGACAGAGCCATTCTTCCTGAGTAAATATTTTGTACTTTTGTGTGATTTTAATTAAGATACTGTACATTTTGTATACTGAAACTACTGAAATTGATAAGAAAGGTGTAGTGTGACATTTCAGACCTAATTTCACTTTCTGTGTTGTTTCACACACAGACAAGCACATGCTCACACACACCTGGACAGTATATAGTTTATAAACCTTTTTTGACTGGCAAGAGACATTTCAGTATGGGGACAATGAACAAGCACAGTTCAAATCCAAACAGACACGACACACACAGTGTCAAAGTCAGGATGTACTGTGGAGACAGATGTACAGGACAGGAAAATATTGCTGCAGGACTCCAGACTAAAACCCAAGATGTCATTTTGATTTTATTTAATCACAAATTCTCAAGAAGAATTTCTGCAAAAAAGGATTTTAGCATGAACTTGCAGGCCTGCAAAGCATTCATTTTCATTCGGTTCATCCCAAGCTTCTGGGGGATGTGAATTACAGAGCTAAGCTCACTGAAAAAAATAATGTGACATTCATAAATAACATTAATCTGCAGGCTACTAGTAGGGATATAGTGTGTGTACTTAAGCAAAATCAGATAACAAATTTGGTTACTTTGGTAGCCTATATAATCCAACTCACCCTATATAATCACATGACTGCAGATGGAGTATTTTTTAATACCTGTAAGCATTGTATGATAATATTTCTTTTCTCTCTTATATAAAAATGTGAACTTACACTAACACCTCTTATCCTGACATGGAATTCTGTGGTCTAATTTAGCCCATCAAAAAAAGAAAAGAAAAGGGCATGGATTTATAGGCTAAATGTGAAAAGTAATAACAAATTGGGGCTTTTAATTGTATTATTTTGCAGTTCCCCAAAAATAGCATGACCCGCTGTCAAATATTTTATCTTATTTTTGTTTCATTATGGCTCTTTCGTAGCTGTGGGGGTCAATGTTTTTATTGATCAAGTCTACAGTCAATCAAACTCAGGTGGGCGGAAGTTGCTCTGTTTTCACCAATCAGGTCGCACAGTCAGTGTACGCCCCCTCTGATAGTCAAGAAACATGGCGTTACGGGAGCTATCGTCGTTGGAGAAATACTTAGGACTGAAAAAGCCGAACAAATACAGTACACAGGGAGATAAAAAGGTGATACGACGGTTCATTGTGGCGCTGTCCAATGCTGGCTTAAACCCGCTATTTTATTTTAAATGATGTTTTTAAGCTGCTGTAACACCACATGATGGCTAACAGGAGGGTGCTAGCAAGCTAGTCATGCCAGTTCTCTTAGCATGTTTCTTCTTATTATCTGTGGATATCTGGGCAGTAGTTATCTATTCATTATTTAGGCTGGTATTCACAGGAAATCCAGGAAGCTACATTTAATGACAGCTGTCCTGTTTCCACAAGTCAGCATAATGGAAATAACACCACGCTTTGCCCATGCTCATTCATTGAAGTGAGGGGTGGAGTGAGCTAACGTATCACAGTCTACAGTTGTTTGGGAAGACGAGAAGAAGGTCACTGCATGGTACATATACAGAACGGCATCAGTCTAAAAGTTAAAGCCGCCTAATCTTTAAGGGCAATGTTTAAAACTATTATTCTTGAAATTTATTTGACATCCACCTGTACAACCTCTTTTAGTTAATATCTGTAATGTTAAAAACTATTATTCTTGAAATTTATTTGACATCCACCTGTACAACCTCTTTTAGTTAATATCTGTATTCCTTGTTAAAGCCAAATGTTGAGTCACTGCATATGAGACACTCCCTCACAGCCGCAGTTTTATTCATGAATATGTGAAGTTATCAAGGGGACATGTTGCTGTCTTTGCGGTGATAATGATAATCACTTTTATTGGCCAAGTATGTTACACACACACACACAAGGCATTTGTCTCTGAGACAGCCCTTTGCAGTGCCAACTCTCTCTCTCTCTCTCTCTCTCTCTCACTCACACACACACACACACTCTGATAGTGGCGCTGTCCCTGCAAGGCAGCACTCTGGCCATCGTGAGCAACTTGGGGTTCAGTGTCTTGCCCAAGGACATTTGGACTAGGGAGAGCTGATGATATCAGATGTGTTGAAATGAACTTGATGAAATTAAATTTTTCATGTGTCACCATCTGACTCTTTCTGTTTCCTCTTTCTGCAGGTACCTGTGTTACAAAATAATAATGGTCCTCCACTAGTGGGTCTGGTGACCATTGCCTGCCATCTGGTGAAAGAGGCCAACCGTCCAGAGCTTCTGGGTGACTCTGCAGAGAGCAGGGCTGTGGTGCAGCAGTGGCTGGAGTACACAGTCACTAAGCTGAACAGCTGCACAAAGGAAGACATCAAGACCATCCTGAAGGTAGAATCGAATATCTCAGACACATTGGCCAGTCATCGGTCATGACTAACCAAGCTAAAGATCGGCCGAGTCTGATCTCCAGCCAATTGATCTGTAGGCTTAAATGCATTTGTGCTTATGATTAATGCAAGTTCTTGCTCAGAATAAGCAACCATCTTGTGCTTAGTGCTCTTTATGTCGGGATTTTTTTTTAGGATTTGTGAAAAGAATATTTTTGTAGTAATCCCTTACCTTAGGGAGGCGCCACAGAATCTCAGTCTCTCTCACATTCCCTTTCTCTGTCCACCAGCTGGGCCACTGTGCGTATGTGTTTTTTCTGTGAAGACACAAGCGACAGCAATACAGACTGTATATCCATTCAGTGACATGGCCCCACAGGACAGAGAAAAATGCTTTAATGTGCCTGACGCCAGTCAGTGTGAAGTGGATCGTCAGCCACTGGTTGCTGAACACCAAGTGCCTCTTGGCACTGTCCTGTCAGCATGAAGTGTGTATGTGTGTACATGCTCATCACTGTGACATAGTGTTGTGGTATGGTTGAGGAGTCATGCTGTGTAGCAGCATGTTATCTGGACAGGCCTCTTAAATATTTTAATAGTGTTACTTACAGAAGGAAGTCGCCCTGAGCAGGTCAGCTCCAGTGCCCAGTAGCCTCCTGTCTTGTCGTGCTGCTTTAGTTCCATCCTTAACACTCTTAAGGATAGCAGTCATCTCCCATTAAATTATGCAGTGATGAAACTGTCATCTGCAGAAGTTCTTAAACTTTCTCACCCCATGATGCAAATAAGAAAGTAATAGTTTTTCAAGCTCAGACTTATTTAAAAAATAAACCTGTTATCACTCATGTAATGTGAGCAAGCCAGGCCACTTTGGCCTTGAACTCAAAATTAGCTGAATGTTGGTTAAATGCTGTCAGTCCACCTTAACCCAACTAAGGTAGTGCAGGGAGATTTCTAGTGTAGAAATGAACACTGGCACTTTACCAGTCTATACCTGATCTGCCCACAGGGCAAAGACTTTTCAGTTTTTCTTTTTTTTTTTTTTATTTACAAAAGTGTTTGTCCCTGTTGTTCTATACAAAGTTTGCCAGCATTATTTTAACTGAATGTACTGACTTTATGATGTACAGTTAAGGCCGGGGCAGGTGGAGAAGAAGCCATCTTGGAGCTCCATGTGCTGGGTGTGGGTGGCAGGAGCACCTTCTCTCTGCTGATGCTCATCTGGGCTTCAGCTCCAGAGCTGTAGGCTAAGAAAAGCAGGGATATGAATCTGAACAGGGAGGCAGTCTGCAGTCTTCATGCCTTGTTTGGCATCATCCACTCTTACTGCACAATAGCTCCATTTGCCCCCAAGATGCTCTGCATACTTGAAGTGTTGCCTTCACACAATGCACAAGTGCTAGAGATGGTCCTTTCCCCTGGGACCAGCGCTTCCATGCACAACTTTGCGTGAACATGAACTGAGAAACAGACATCGTTCAGGACAGCTTCATTAGATTTGCGAGTGAGAGTTGCAGCCATTTCGTAATGGAGTAAACAAATAGTCTGTTTTGTACAGCATCTGTGCTACGTTGCCAGTCATGGGAGAGATGCCCCTCAGGTTACAGATTATTACTAGCCACACAGCAGAGCACACAGACACACATGCAAGTTAGGATCCAGATTCATGTACCCTGTGCACCCCCGTATATAGGTTAACGTACCTGCTGCCATGTGTGCTTTAGGTCTGTAGTGTCCATCAAGGGAATAAATCTTTTTAAAATGCTAAAATTAAATTAATCTGAAAGCAAGATGCTTATTACAAAACTGAATGTTTGTTTCACTTCAGCTTGGTTTCGGTATATTTTTTGACAAATTATTTAACAATAACTTAAAGTAAATTCCAAACTGAAATTCCTACTTATGATGGAACCAACACCACCTCTATTAAAGGAGGCTTTATTAGTGATTCATATAACTCTTTTCTTGACTAAAGTATAATGAATTCATCTGTCATGGGAAGACAAGTGTGTTTACATAGAAATGCACGCAGTGCATAAATTAGTGTAACAAAATGAGCTAATTTGCTTAACTGATTGTTTTGATTTTTTTTTCTTTCCATGCTTTATTTACTACAATGTCTTAGGAGTCCATCATCAGAATTTACTACATAACCACAAGTAAATAAATCACCATTTCCTTCAACTTGGAATATGTATTATATGCAGTACCACCCCCACCCCCCCATCACACTGCCTTTCCATCCATCCTCAAGATGGGTAAATATAAAATGTTTACAAATCGACACATGTAAGATGTTAATTGGTGGTGGTGGGTGATGGGGGGGGTAGTCTTTCTACAAAAGAGGAGAAATGTGAATCCTGGTAATTCCAAAGTTGTCTAAAATGTTGTGTGTTAGCCACCTGGTTTTTGGAGCATAGTTATATCTGCATGGTTAATAGTTACTTTTTAAATCTGTTGATTTGCTTAAGATCACAACTAGTCATATTAAAAGACATGATATTACAGCCACTTCAACAGGTAAATGGGTTGCACACACACAAAAAAAGGTTTGGAACCCCTTACATTCTACCCACCCAATTCCAGCTTGTTCCAATTAACCCTCCATATCACACACTTGTCTTGCCAATCCCCAAAAGTCATGTAAGAATGCAGCAAGGCATAGTCTTAAATCACTATCCACCACCCCTAACACAAATATTACATCTATTCATTATTATTGTAGTGGCCAGTTTGGCTTTGCTCTCTTTCGAATATGTGGGCATTGTTCAGGTAGCTCAGGCTTTAAGGCCTAGTAAACAGCACAAGAGAAAAGGGAATTATCTGGAGCTTTTTAGTATCTTTCACTCTGAGTCCTGGGGATCAGTAGTGCACTAGTGCTTCAGTGCACTAAATGTGAAATTTCATGAAATGCTCTCTTTCAGGACCTCAACCTCTACCTGCAGGACAAGGTCTACCTGGCCGGCAACCAGTTCACCTTAGCAGATACCTTCATGTACTTTGGACTCCATCCAATCATAGTAAGTTACTTCTTTATTGTCTTTTAAATTAATGTGTTGTTAAAACACCTACTGTGTTTTGAGTGATGCAACTTAGTGACATTATATTTATTATAAGGTTAGCCTTAGATTTTGGATTGAGGAAAAGAAAATTGTAGCTTCACATTAGATTAGGGTGAGTCGCTGTTGATGTTGACTTAAAAAGGTACATTTTCTTCGATACATCCATTTTTTATATTTATGTAACATGATTTTTTGAGTAATTGGATAACTGTTATTCATTTACATAGATGAACCACTAGGACAGGGATTTTTGTAATTGATTAGAACTGAAACTAAACTTTGGGGAAAAAACAGACAGGATTTTCATTTTATGTGTTAAGAGGATAAATTTGATTTATTAGGACTCAGCACCGTTCTCACCACCATTATTAACCAAGGAGTCATCCTTTTTCCTTCCTATCAGAGCTTACTTCAGACAAACCACAACTTTAACAAGCAATTTGTCACAGTATATAACACACAATTAGACCAGTCATATGGCCAAAGGGCATCAAGAACAAGACGGCAATAAACACACTGGTTATAAGCACATTCTCACTTCTCTTCAAAGAAATAAAGTGATGTGGCACAAAGTGATCTGTTTAGCCTCAGACCAGGGACAAGTGAGTTTGTTATGCCTTCCAGGATAAAAAAAGAGTGAGTGAGAATTTGGAAAGATAGAATGAGACAGGTTGTGGCAGAGATGGAAGGTTGCCCCCTGCTACCAGGCAGAGGAGCGTCACTTTGGTTTGCAATCAATGTGGGTTTTAACCTCTGGGACAAAGGGTCAGCGAGCCCGGCCCTTAACCACAGCCTGTCCTGATGTTCAATTCATGGAAGACAACATGGCACAAACATTAAACCTGACTGACACTAGAATGCTTTACAACCAATCTATGTCCTTCCCATCATGCAATGCCTTTGTGGTACTGTGAGAACAGATGAGCCCCACAGTGTCTTTCCTGACTTCTGGCTCATTATAATCAAATCAATCTAACTTTCCCTTAACTCTTTCTTAACTCTGTGATTAAGGACATATTTACATTTCAAACCCTTGCACTTTGAAACACTTTGGGAAATGCTCCTAGTATTGTGTAGTTTCATAACTATTAAATCATTAAATACTTTCCCTCTTTCACAAAGGCAGCATTGTACACTGTGTATTAATGTTCACGCTCAGTGGCCAACTTATTTCCTCTCTTTCTTCTCACACCAAGATGGACTTGGCCTTTCAGGAGAAGGAGCAGTTTGTGAATGTGACGCGGTGGTTTGACCACATTCAGCACTACCCGGGGGTCCGACACCACCTCTCTCCTGTAGTTGTGCTCAGAAACAGAATATACACCAGCAGACATCACTGAGACCCAACCCAACCCAGCCTGACTCCTCAGAACGTCTTCTGCCTTTTAACCTGGGCAAATTAACCCCTAGTCTCCAGGAGTGTATCACCTCATCATCATCATCATCTTCATTGTCATCAATGTCATAAGTTGTGGATGTTTTCACACAGTCAGTTCTATCCATGATTTCCTGTTATTCCTACTTTTTTTTTTACATAATTCCTGCCTTCATTATTTTTCTTGTTTGCTCACATATCTGAACTCTGTTTGCTCAAACCATTCACTGTTTGAGGTACTGAAACGTTATTAAGGGAAGTCTTGCCAACAAAAATCTAGTCAGTTTGTGTTCTTATATAATGTAACTGTTATTAATAATTATTGCTCAGTATCAGAGGCTGACTTCGACAAGGGCTGGGAGTGGAAGCCAGCTAACCTGTCAGTCATTCAGTAATGAGAATCCTTATAGGTTTGGTGTCTTCTTAACCCTTACACTGTAACTCAATGGCAATGATTTGAGACAGTTAAACTGTTTTTTATCTGCAATCTTTGTAGGACTTGAAGTTCTTTTCAGAGGGTGAAATGAAAAGCAAAATGCTGCTAGCTTGATATTTATCAGTCATACTTTAATTAGAGCCTTTTGTATGCAATGACAAGTATTGCAGGTTCAAAGAAGACTTAAGATGTTACATAACCTTAGGAAAAACTGTTTCCTTCATGCCCTAGCAGTGCATTTACTCAAAAAAAAAAAACATTCACTGCTCAGTCCTCGTTGTTCATCCACTTGTGATCTCTCTGCCCTGATGAATCTCATGCTTTGGTTTCTGCTCTCCTCCCTGTCAGGGCTGTGGTGTTTGTGTTTTGTAAGGATTTTATGTCTTCCACATTCAACTTCCAGCCATTTCACTGGACAGTTTAGTTTCCCTGTGTGTTCCTGATTACATCCCCGCACGCTGTCCCACTTCCTCACCACCAGTCATGTGGGCAGCAATGGGCACTTGAGCGTCAGCCCCAGAGTCGGAGATCAGAGTGAGGCTCCAATCAGTCCAACTACCACCATTGTTGATGCTGCAGGCCAGAGAGAGGGCAGCAGGCTCACCAGCTGCCACACAGATCCAGCCAACCCAGGCCCCTGGGCAACAGTCAGCCACTGTGTGTCATTTCAGCCCTCACACTCCCACAGGGCTAATGGAGAGAGAACGATGAGGGGAGGGAAGGAAGGAGGTCACGGAGAGAGAAAAAGAGCACCCAGAGGCCAAGGGATTGCTCTGTGACGTGAACGGTGATCCGTGCCTCTGAAAGCCTTGCTGCTGTTGGCTAGATGTTTGCTGTTAGCACCAGTAACAGGCCAAGTCGTGGCAGCGGTGGCTGAACCTATACAATAAGACTATGAAGGTACTGATAAATATACACAGCTGGAAAATGAGGATGTTAGTCTTTCGATTGTTTGTTGCATAGACACTTGCAGAGTGAAACCTTTCAGCACATTTTGGGACAGTTCATGACAAAAACTTCACATAGTCTAATGTTCTAAGATTCCTTCCTACCTTCTGTTTTAATGCTCCCATTTCAGCCATGTTTTTAAGTTCTTCCAGCCTAACAGGCTTTACATATCTTTGTGTCTGTGATCACTTATCAGATGTAAGCACGATGTTCATCCTGTAGTAATAAATCAGAGATGCACAGCACACGACCCCTGGCTTCCGTTCTCATTTTCCAGTGTGTACTTTTTTGTGTTTTCTAAAAATTCATTTTGCATAAACCAACCAGAAGACAGAGCTGAGTTCCATAAGACAGCTGGCTTTGTGTTCTGGCAAGTTTTATGAACGTTTGCTGTCATTTGAGTGAGCTTTGTGACTCGTGGCAGCATACGATGTAGTCTTCCATTAAAGAAGCTCTTGTCCTTTCAGTTGTGTTAACATTTAATTGGATTGCTGTTTTGAATACAATGGCTGGACATTTCTGAAGCGTAAATAATTATGTTTTGTTCACAAAAGTTAGTTTTTGCTAAACAAATAGTAAATTTAATGGTTACGGACCACATGTGGGCAAAAATATCATTATTGTTATGGATACTATTGAACACTCTTTTTTTGCAAACAAAAAAAAAAGGTGCTCTTCGAGGTATTTAAATCTTAAATATACAAGGATGATTAGTCAGTCTTTTTGAAACTTCTTTTGTGTGGCTCTGTGCTGGCAGGATCTCAGATTGTTCAAGTGGTACAGTCTCACAGTCGGGTTACTCCCTGATCAAACCCGAGTCAGACAGAGTGATGAGGCTGCAGCACATGACCAGGACAGAGGCAGCAATTAGTGGTGACCTTTCCACTGACATATGAGGCAAAAGAAGCAACACTCTAGGGGCTCCACCGCTGCCGCTGGAGACTACCAGCTGTGGCCTCGCCCACCGGTTCCCACATAGAGGTACGGTTTAGCTCGCCACCTGATGAGGGGAGTTCAAAGGTGAATAAAGTCGGGTTATTATCAGGATTACACCGTGGAGCTGTGGGAGGGAGCGGTGCTCGCTCTCTCATAGAAGACCAGAGGGCAAATAGATGTGATAACTTCATATGACACTGGTAGTTTTGCCTTTTAATCAACTTGTAGCTTCAAAGTTGGTGTTTCATGTGCACATGCAAGCTCCTAAATTCACAAGCTGCCCAGCAGTAATTCAAATTCTAAGTTAGTTAAAACTTCTTCCACCTTTACCTGCTGCAACATTAAACATGATATACACAAAATACATTCATAATTACAATGTAATAATATGACATACATAAATGTCAAATGTGCCACTCTGCATAATGAGTACTTTTATTTTTAGTACTTTAAGTATATGTTGATGCCAGTACTTTTGTACTTTCACGCAAGTAATGTTTTCATCTTTCCCTGAGAACACCTTCAGGAAGCTATTTTATTTCTGACTGCGCACTTTCTGGTCCTCTTTTTCAGCCAGCAGCTTTGTCAGTTGTTCTTCCAGGGCGTCTGCTCTCAGTGTGCTCTGCCCCAGAGCTGTCTGCACAGCACTCAGCTCATTCAAGGTGTTTATGTGAGCATTAATGTGAGTTTGTCTCTTCTGAGTTTCCCTGGTGAGCAGCTTGTCTTTTTCACAGAGGAGGTATTTTTTAAGCTGACTGACTTTTCTTTACTGTTATTAGCAGCATTAAGGGGAGGGAAACACATGGGCTGCAACATCCAGCTAAGAACAGGGCTCACTGTCTCTCACTTAGCATGTCATAAGCTCTTTTGACAGGACTTATCGTGGTCTTACACATTGTGACAGTGGTACCATGCACCTATAAAGATGGCATCTCATTGTCTATTGCAATTATGTGATTGTATGAGAAGGATGCAGTGATGAAGGGCACGGGGGGCGGGGTGTTTTTACACCATGTTCATACATTAAAATTATTCCTCTAGACATGATGGAGAAAAGTATGTCTTTACCTCTTAAGTTCTAAGGATGTACTGTATGCTTACATTTTGTGCTCACATACACAGCACAGGTTTGTGGTTTATCTGCGTTTCTGGTGCAATTTGCAGAAGTGAATAAATGGGATGGTGCTAGTGTCAAAAATAGAAAATGATGCTCAACAAGTTCAGTATTGAACTGGGTGATTTGTTTTGGATGCCAGGACTTCCTGTTGCCTGTGGAGGTGTGTAGATTGAAAATATTAAAGGATCCTTCTGGTCTGGGTATTTTTTAGTTTTGGTCAGTGCGTCTTTATGTTATAACATTGTACTCACTAAGTTAATTGCTAAGATTTTCTGATGGGGCAAGAAACATGGACTGTCAAACAATAATACGGCTTGTAAGTGAACCCCGTGCTTATTTGGAAGAGACATTTGAGTCACATGGTAAAATTATTACTGAACCTGTTTAAGTTGTTTAGTTATTTTGCTTCATTTATACTTTTGTGTTAAGGGTTTACACCATTCTCCTGCCTGTGGAAGCTCTGAAGCTACACAGTAGATGATGTTTTCCTGTTCAAAAATGTAACTGCAACATCAGGGTGGCTACAGAGATACTGTACCTCTCACTGTGGAAAATCTAGTTATGATCATGAATAATATAATGTTTACTGTTGTGCCTGTGATAACAATGGGTAAAATCCAACACCAAATTATAAATCAAAGACTGCAGGTATCTACAGCAGGAGTCCCATTTACCTCTGCTTCAGCCAGCAGCTTTTGCAGATCATCTTACATACAGTTACATGCCAACATTTTGTTATGCTTTTACTGTCAGGTTAAATAAAGTGGTTCAAATAATTAGGTTGACCTTTTGTTCTGATTCCAACTTGGTAGAAATGGTGGCCAAAGCTAAGAAAATGATACCCAAACTGTAATAAAACAAAATAACCTTTTATGTTTTGATTGGGTAGCTAGCATCCTATAGATGAATGCATATTCTGATCTCATCACCGTCTGCATTATCTTAACAACTGAATCAGACGTCTGTTTATTTACCTCAGATTATGTGTCAAAAAGCACATACCCATTGACCACGTATGTATTCATGCAAACAGAGCTTCCCAAGTTCCCATGTTATTCTGTCTTTCTTTATCTCTCTCCATCTCTTGCAAGACCTCACTTGGATTGCATAAGATCCCAGGTGTGCAACGAGACCAGAGTTTTACGAGGTGCAACCGTTCAGCTCATCAATCAGAGAGATGGGTGGCTGATTCGGCACGTAGGTGCTAAGTACATATGTGTGAGCCGGGGCAAGGAGATTGCACAAGAGTGTACCTTCAGTCTCTCTCTCTCTCTCTCACATCAACAGTCACACACACACACACACACACACACAGATGGCGGTTGTTCTTAGCCACCTCGATTGCTCCTCAACCCTGATTTACCTCAGCTGCAGCTTTGAATTTTTCCTGTCTGTGTGGGTGTGCATGTGTGTGTGGTCATGCACCCATTTATGGGGTTGTAGTTCTGGCCTGAGGGCAAGAGGTGAATTAAGGATGAGGGAGGCATAAAAGAGAAAGAGAGAGAGAGAAAGTCAACTCAGTTGGATAAGTTCAGAAAACAGGCCTTTGACAGTAGTTAAAATACATACAGTACATACATACTGTATTTAGAGAGAGAAAGAAAGATTTTAAAAAATTCTGACTCACAATATACAAAATGTTTAATTATTCACTGTTAATGATTGGACATGGATGGTTCACTTGGCCTTGGTTGTTTCAAGAGCTTTTCATTTAGCACACTGTCACACTGTGTGGCCCCCCATCACAGTCCTCATCTCTTTTCAGATGTTCAAGTGTTCCACAAGTTAGCCATACATTTAATACCCCCACCCCCACACTCCTCCACCTCCTGCTCTATCCAACCCACAGGTCATGCCACTTAACTTCAGCCTGCCCCCCTGCTGTAATATGTTCTGATAGGAAGCCTCCAGGGAAGTTGACTTCTCAATGAGAGGTGATACTAAAAGTAATTGTGGCTGAAACCCTGTGACGGGGGGTGTACTTAAAAAAATAGAGCGTGGCACAGGGAGGATGGCATTTGAAATGAGCATAGTGGATATTTGGGGGGGAAGAGGGTGGTAGCACACTGGGTGGGCAGAAAGTACTGCCCTTGGCCTTTTAATCTAATTTGACCTCAGTGGGGGGAAAACAGCAACAGCCTCTTAATTTGTATATTTCTGCAGCTCTTCTGCATATGTCACTGGGATGGTGATTATTTTTCCCCTGTACTTTTTTATTATAGCTGTTTGGTTTTAATTTGAGATGACAAATTTATTTAAACCTGGAGTTAAATGCAGAGTACTTTCTCACTGCATCGCATCTCATTTCTCTAATGATTAAACAGAGACTTGATGACAGTTTCATAAAAACATAAACAAGGTTTCATATCATTAACTTGGGATATGAGTTATTACCTCTGTGACCCCACCCCCCACTTCATTATTCCTGTGTGATAGCTATTTTTAATGAGGGCATGGATGTAGTGCCTGGTGGTTCCAGGTGACACAAAGGAATGCTGTACAGAAGAAATGGCACCGTACTTTCACCATAAAAACAAAAGATGTGATTCCAAACAGAGAGAACAGTCCATCCGCAGACAATTTGAGAAAGTGCTTAAGATTCAGTATTTTACATTTACACTCTCCCTCGATTTTAAAGTGTATTTCTCATAAACCCATTTTCCATTTCAAAGATTAACCTCTTTTTTTTTTTCAGTTTTTTTCTTGAAACCTCCAACTGTGATTCATGTAACAACAGCAAACAGCTCTCGTCTTTTAATATTTTGTTTCTCCCAAAACTGTTTAGAAACAATGATTTGTTCATTCTATTTGAACTGAAATTAAATTTGCATGAAGGTGAGCAAATAGATTCAAAAGACACATGACATCTCACAAAGAAACGGGGCGACAGGGCGAGAATAAGGGAAGGTCTCCTGAAATCTCACCCCTCAGTAAACCTAAATCATTTCTGTTTGTTAATTTTATGCTTTGTGGAGATCTAGGAGTATTCCTTTATAATAAATATGCAGTATACAGTGAGAGAAAATCACTGTGATAGACAAGGATGCAATTACTTCTGTCCCCTAAGATGCAATATATAGTTTACAAAGAGGTCTAGCATATTACATATCACTTTGGAAGTGCGGAATCACTTGCATTTTGCATTTAATGGATAAAATATGATAAATTATGCCCATGTTATCTTTCAGTTGTATGCATAGACAATAACTTGTTGGTGATGGAAATTTAATATGGAGTATTTCAAACTGTTTTTAACAGAAGAAAATAATTTCCCTTCATATTTTATGTAATTCAGCTTTGAATTACATGGAATATTTGGCCATACAAATTCATTTAAGATGTCATAATTCAAAATGAAATCATGTTGTCAATGAAGTCACTTTGGTTCCTGGAAATGTAAAAAAAAAAAAAAA